TTAGACACATAGTTAGACAGACAAGCAGCATACAGAGGAAAGTGCCAGCTCCTTGCGGCAGGGAGTTGCCCAGCTTTCCCACTCTGGCTCTTCAAAACCCAGCCCAGATATTTCCTGGTTCTGACACCAGCTTGGCTCTCAGATCATTCCTGCATGTGGAGAGAAACAAGAGAAGAATTACTCCAACTGTGCTCAAGTGAAAAAGAATGAATTTCAAGGTCTGGTGACGCAGACTGTTGAACTTTTGGAAGAAAAAAAAAAGCATTTATTTGTGAAAGTCCTTGGAAAACATGCTTCATATCACAGTTGTTTGGGTCGATGACACTTAACGTTTTGCAGCTGGTTTCAAGAAGAAGATGAACAATTATACTCGGTTTGACAATCACCCGTATCTTGTAAAACCATACATAACAAAAACCTGGTTGTGCCTTTCTGAGTAAACAATGAAGGGAAATACATTTACTGTAATTAAAAACATAAACATACACCAGCCAGTCAACTCATTACTTACGGTAATCAGTGAATGAACATGTTAATGAAGAGCAATGTCTTTTTACAGTAAATGAATATCTGCAGTATTGTTAACCTGCAATGCAGTGAGACATCTTTATCTGTGCCTTGTGTGTGTGTGTATGTGTGTGTTAATCTCTGACATTGGGTGAACGGGCCTGTTTTGGTTTCCACGGCAGCGGCGAGGGCCCCACAGTGCACTGGCCCTGGAAGTGGCGCAAACACAAACCACAGTATAAGTATGTCTGTGTGTGTGTATGAGTGCATGCATGCATATGTGTGAGACCACATTTGAGTGTGTATGTGCTGCAGTGCCCACCTCTAAGCTCAGAGGGAGGCTTCACACACACATACACGCCCATGCATGCACGCTCACACGCACACACACTCTCGCCTTGGCTCTGCTCTCTCCCTGGGTGGTCTGTGCTGCAAATGTTTATGATCTAAACCAAGCTAATCCAACTGGCTTGTTTCAGTGAATTGAGAATGATTTACAAGACGCAACAACAGGGCCAAGGAGGGAGAAGGAAATCAGAGGAAATCATAGGGCTCCATTTCAAGTCACTATGTGACTGGACCTGCAGACTTGTCTCTAAGTCTGTTCTCATGCCTATCTCCATCTGTTTCTGTGTCAGAACTGTGGTGTTCTGTGTTTGTGTCTTTTTCATTTGCCCCCCACTCATTGCTTTAGACGGATGTCTTCATTTGACAAATTAGCTGGGCTTTCACGATATGCAAAACACAAGGGATCAGTGGATTTTCAATTGCCTGTGAAGGCTCTCACCCTCATTCTCAGCGGGGTTTTTTTTCCATTTCTAATTTCCCACAGAAAAGGGGGAAAGAAAGTCTTGATAACAATCTGTCCCTGACTGTCAATCACACACACACTTCTTTCTTATAATGAACATGCCATATGAAGAATAAGATAATGCAATAGCAGTGTCTTTCCAAGAAAAAAAACCCACCTATAGCATAATGTGCTGGCGTGTCCTCTTCTTCCGTGTGAAGAGAGAAAAAGGACACTCTTTTCCACCTTTTGTATCTTTCACAGAGATGTTTGCATCTTGTCATGTGAGCTTTCAGTGACACCAGTAAACTGAAGCCCAGTTCTCCAGTTTAGTTGAATGTGGAATGTCTTGCACACATCAGCGCTCTGTGGTAAACCAGCCAAGCAGTAATCTCTCTGAGTGTCAGTGGTTTGGGCTGACTTTAATTGCAGCTTCACTTTTTTTGCCAGATCCCCCTTTTTATGAAGAGAAGGGGATGCCACCTGCACACTGACAACACCTTGTAAACTGGGTGGGTGAAGAGGAGAAACAGAAAAACATAAAGGCCCTTTTGTAGCTTGAGCACATTGGAAAGTTTAATCTGTTACTTAGAAATGTACTGAGTTCTTTTAGATGCATTTGGAAACTGCTGCAATGTGCCTTGTTAGGTGTCTCCTGATAGGGTAAGGGTTGTTTGATTTAGGTTTTACATTAAGTTTATGTGTTTAATCCTTCTTAAGTCAAATGTATATCTATTTCTTGTGACAAAAGGCTTTATAACACTACAAGTCATATATCGATAAATCAGACCTATACTACAATGACTCAAACAATGATGCAGATTGTGTACACCTTGGAGTTTCAAAACAAAAAGCAGGAAAACATTTGTACATGTCCTCAGTAGCCCTCAAAGACCTTTTGGTTTGGGCTTGGAGACTATCTTTAACAGGAAGCCCTCAAAACTGGGGGTGTGGGCTTTGAAACACCTGGGCATTTACCTGGTAGGGAGGGCTATTAAAAAAACACTGCTATTGGTCAAATTGTGGGAAATGTAGGATCCAAGGTTTTATGAGCTTGACCCATACAAGGGAATAAAAGTCAGGATATCTTGGCATCTTGAAAGTCCCCAAAAACCCAGGGAAGAGCAATATTAAATTGGAGTATTCATTTAAATGTACACTAGCACTGTTTCTAGAAGTGCTCAATCATTGATGTTTGGAGCAGTATCCACAAACTGATTCCACTATCTGCCTGGTCTAACCAACACCTTTGCTTTGTCTGGGCTGGATAATACCAGTCAGAGCATTTTAAATTATTAGGGTTACTACACATACAAAATAAATGTACCTTAACCAGTTACATAAGTCCTTATCTTTCAGTAGTGAGCTAAGATTACTGACGACTTTTTGTCATTTTTAAGAAACTGAAATTGTATTGAATTGTCATTTCTTCCTCCAGTATATGTTGTTGAGCTGCAGATCAAGAAAGGAAACAGAAAAGTGCATATCACTACCTCCATACTAATGTGGCTGACTTTACTACAGTCCCATGCAGACATACTGAGCTGTAAATTGCCTGTAAAAACGTTTCACTACTAAAAAAAAAACAAATCAAGCTGAGCATGTGTTTATTTAATGTATGACTGAGCTCTTATAGGATAACTGCATCAGCTGTTCACACAACCATGACCCAAATGTGAAGCCTTTCCACTGTTTGTGACATTTTACAAGAAAACCTCACTCTCTCTTTGTCTGTCTGTAAGTGTCTCCATGTCTTGTTTCTTTCGTTTTCTCTACTCTCCGTTCACTACTGTCCCAGCTGTTTCCCTCTTCTTTCTCTTTTGTGCTGATGTCTCGCCATTTATTAAAGACCCCTTTTTCCAGGAAGCTGTCTCTCAAACCTATTTTCACTTCCTCTCTCTTCCTCCACCAACATTTCAACCCACCAGGCTTCCTCCTCCCATTATTATTTTATTTCATTATTCTGGCATCCAGGCAACAACAGACAGACATGCTTGTTTGTCTCCTTCTCTCTTTTTTCTCTCTCCTTCCTCTCTCCTTCGCTCGATCTTTTGGTTTCGAGCAAGCAGCAACGAGCAGTCAAGCTCATCTCCTGGCCAGAGCAAACAAAACCAAAGCCACATTCCCCGAGCTCAATTTGCTGTTACGTCTCAGCTCTGTGAATTGGGAGTTTTCAAGCTTGAAGTCTGGAGGAGTAGCTGGGTGGCTTCTGGCTGCTAATCGGCTCACACCACTTTGTGTGTGTGTGCATGTGTGTAGGTGTGTGTGTGTGTGTGTGTGAGCCCCTATAAATTACTTCTACTATGGTCAAAAAGAAAAAAATGCTTGCCTATTTTAAGCTAATTGTTTTGTAGTAGTTATTCAGTTACAGACAGCTACTGAAAAAAGTGTAATAAATAAAAATAAAAACAGGACACAAAGGGTGACAAATAGAATGTTAGCATCATCAATAACAACAACAACTCATGAAACTCTTCCATAATTCCAGGATAGAGTCAGTCATTAACTTACCTATTGTTACTATGGTTATGGTTTGCTAAGAAATTACTTTATTTCTTAAGCCATTAAACTTTTAAATGCTCATGATATGTAAGGCGATGAGGAGTCGTCTCCATTATCGATCGGGTGGCGGTAGTACTGATAGTATATGTAATCTAGTAGCTTATCAATACTGAGCGCGCCGCCTCGCTAGCGCCCGTACGCTAGCGACGCCGCGCCTCCTGACCGGCTAGCGGTATAGGGTATATGAAGCGCAGTACACGGGTATCAACCATGGTAATCGTAGTAGTAGGGTATATATATATAACATACATATAACATATATCTATATAACAACTGGTTTATAGTGAATAGCGATGGTGATGATGTCTTTAACTATTAGTGATATTGGGTTGGTAGTGATGGCTGGTTGTGGATGTATTGTAGATTTTATGTAAGATTTTTCTAATGATTCTTGTTTCTTACCTTCTATAATAATCATAATCATCGTGGTCATCAAGGTAAAGATGGTGTTCATGTGTTAGTGTTTTGACAAAAAAAAGGTGTTATATATGGCAACAAATAATATTTACAATAAGACTTTCATCCCAAAAGCTTGACAACATGAGACTGCAGTTTAATTGTTATTTTAGTTTCATTTATTTTTTCCATGGCTTCCATGTTTTTTTCTCGTCCTGATATAATAAATTGATACCAGAGAGCACCTCAATAACATTTTAAAGTAGTTGTACCTGCTGTTGTTTCTAATATTGTGTTTATTCTGTTGTATGTGTGTGTCTTCACCACTGCGGACCGGAACCACTTTACGGCGGAAGTAGTTTTCCCACACGGACCTATTTCACCGAAAGCACCCAGATGTCATCATTTGATGCTAGCTGTTAGCTTCCTGAACATAACCTCTGTCAAAATATCCCACGTGTAATTGAACTTCTGCCACCGCCGCTTATCTGAGAGGGTGTTTGCCTCTCTGAGGAGGTGTCCAGCTGCCTGTGAGCTGACCCTGAAGCCGCGGTATCACCCGCTGCTCCGTGCTGATCGTTAGCACAGTGCTAACAACAGTGACAGCCAGCAACTTACATGCGTCTGCCCGCTGCTGTCCTTTCAAGTGGCAGCGGATCATCAGGAATCACTGACAGGTATATTTAGACTTATTTTTCACCCATGGAGCGAGTCGACATCACTTATTGTATCTTCTTGTTAATGTCATGCTGTGGATTAGGTTGGCAGTGTGCCCTGACACAGTTAACGTGTACAGTGTACTGTTAACGTTAGTTGTGTCAGCGCTGTGCGGAGGACCTGTCATCATTTTGAGCCTAATGTTGAAATACATCCGGATTTCCTTATGCGATCTGATGTTAATCTGTGCGGCTCACCTGTTCAATGCTGTACTCACAGGACACCAGTGTCACTTTCTTAGGAACAGTACTCTATTGTCATGTGTTGACTTGCTTGTTTGAATGGGGTATCAATACTTACTTACATTTAAATGCAGGTACAGTGGAAGCAGATGTGACTATAGGGAGAAGGGAGTAATAATTGGGGAGTTTAGACGAAAGGATAAATACATTTTATATTGCAGCCTGCAGTCAAGATTTTGCAGATTCTTACAGTGTATTTAAATGTTATATATGTGTTATAGCTTTTCCTCTTTTGACAATAAAACCCCTGTACCTTATATGTTCAACCATCTGAGTTTCAGGATATTTTCCAAAGCCCACTTTCCTTTTTTAATGTTTTGGTAGCAGCTAGTGACTGTGTAATGTGTTATACCAAATTTACTTCATAGGTTTTGCAGAATATCATGTTTCCTAAACTGCAGTGTTGTATCCTAGCACTGTACTCCATAGGTACCCCAGTACTTACAAAAAATAAAATGCCTAATTGTTCCTCCCTTGTTCCCCATGGTATTGTTTTCTTTTACTGTGTCTACATTAAAGTACCAGTAGGAACCAGTGCATATTTTATTGGTATCTCATTCTTACAACTAAATTATAGTATAAATCATCAGCTGTATTATAAAATGTTACCAAAAAGGCATATTTTAAGAGAGTGTACCGCTCATATATGTGTATTTAGTATTTCGATAGCCTTCCATGTGAATGTAGAGGAAAAAACATTGCACTCAACAAAAGACAAAGAGATAAAAAGACAATTTATGTATGTGTAACTACCATCAAAGTTCAGCAAGTAATATAAGAGTTTGCATTTCCAAATCAATCAGAATGCTCTTTTTATTTCAGTTTCTATGTTCAGCACCAGGTTGTAAAGTTCACAGATGTTTGGGTTATGCTTTTTTCTGTGTGCAGTTCTCATTTCGCTTTAGTGTTGAATCACCAACAATGAGTTATTCAGTTCATTATCAGAGGTGTATCAAGTTGGTCCCTTTGGTAAGATAGTTAAAGTCTCACAGGGCCACTTAGAGCATCAAGAGTATCAACTAAACAAAAGCACTTACAGTTGCAAACTATAGATTATGCAACCTTATGTCTCTATATAACACCTATCTACATGGCAACATCTGCTATATGCACATAAACATATGTTAATCTGAACTGTGGTACATTTTTATATAAAAGTAAAGCTCTGTATACTGTATAACTCTGTTAATCTCTCTGTTGGTCCCTCTCTCTTAGCCATCCCTAGCAGACATCATGGAGCTGCAGGCGGTGTTGATGGCAGCTGGTGGGGGCTCTCGTATGACTGATCTGACATACAACACCCCCAAAGCAATGCTGCCTGTCGGCAACAAGCCCCTCATGTGGTACCCGCTGAACCTGCTGGAGAGGGTGGGCTTTGAAGGTGAGAGCTCAGTTTTTAGTACTTCTTCTGCTATTACATTGACTACATCTAATACCCCTATTACTGCTACATATGCCCCTATTACTGCTACATATGCCCCTATTACTGCTACATATGTCCCTATTACTGCTACATATGCCCCTGTTACTGCTACATATACCTCTATTACTGCTACCAGTACAAGTATTATTCTTAACTTGTGTTTTTGTTGCACTCTTTAGGGCATCTTTAGTGACCTGCCCACCTTTAACCTGAGCAGAGGTCTAATCAGCCAGTAACTGTAACTGAAAATACCTGTATTTGTGTGTGCAGTTAAGTCAGATAAAGCACATGAAAGAAAAAAATCTCACTATTTGTCATCGTTATGGGATGCATGTGGAATTTTTATTTCATCCTACATGTGATTGAAAGATAGCTCAAAGATTAATTTTAGAAATGCAATATTCTGTCTGCCCGGTCTGACAGTGTAACATTTCCTCGTTAGAGCTACATGATCTGATGGTAGTGATCTGGATCTGATGTGAACTGTTAGCCCTCCATCCACAACGTGTGTCAGTGGCAGGGGTGGAAAGTGCTACAAGAGTGCACTGGCATTCTTGGTTGGTTTCCACATAAAATGTAAAGAAGCATAAAATATAGCCAGTACTTCTGGTGTAAGTTTATGTGGGCCGTTTATAAAACTGGAACAAAAAGAGTGCAAGCTTTGTTTTAGCATTAATGTGGAAAGAGACCTTTAAGATCACCTCCTACTCAAACACAAGGACTATAACTGTTTTTCTTTTTTACAAAAAGTGCTGTATTAGTAAAATTACTAAAAGATTGATGTCCCTTAAATTTTTTACAGTTTTTACAGAGATAATTAAAGAGAAACCGATTTTGTTGCATTTTATCATTTCCTTGTGATAACAAGGACAGATTGTACAAACTTTAGTGTTTTGACTGGTACTGCACGATGTGGTAAAAACATCATATTGCAATTATTTTGGCAGATATTGCGATTATGTGAGAATGACAATTTTTCTATCACAAATTGAATTTTCACCAAAAACAACTATTAAAATAATAATGATGTGAAATTTTTGGTGGTCTGTAGCAAACAAACGTGCAAGATTTCTAGACCAGGGCACCTCAGCAGCACTTCAGTACTTCATTATAATGCTGTATTCGCACACATTTGTCTTTTGTTTGAACAGCTCTTGCGATTTGCATATTACACTTGGCCATATTTCGATTTCGATAATATTTCAATTAATTGTGCGGCCCTATGTAAAAATACACCCAAGAAAAGTATATAAACTATGAACTGTAGTTCTACAGACAATAACCAGAGTTAAATGTTGCAGGTTGGTCACATTTCCTCTACTTGCCTGGACAGGCAAACTCAAATGTTGGCCAGCTCTCGAGAGACACTACAAAATTTGGACTCTAATTGAGGATGAACAGTTGAACAGTACATCTGATTTGAAGCTGTTAAGCTTTAATAACAAGACCAAATTGTAATTCTTTTTCCTATTCATGGTCAGTTGTACTTTTGCTGTTTGGTACCATGAAACAGCCAAGTATATTTGCAGATTTTCCCCAGCAACATGGGGCTGCATAAAAAGTATTGAGTTTACAACTGTGCTGCTTTTTCTAGTCGTACTTTCACCAGCTTGTCATCACATCATCAGGCGTTGTCAGGTGTGCATTTCCTGCCTAGCTTTACAGTCCAGGTTTTTGCCTCTTGTGCTGCAGCTTGCAGTAGGTCCAGAAACTCCGGGCTTATAAAGGGATTTGGTGCAGTATGCAGTTCTTGCCAGTAAACAGGGCTGTTTGTTATAAAAGCCTGTAGGTCCTCACTAGCCTAAATAAAACTAGCTATCTATACATAATCATCCTGTGTGGCCAGCAGTTTACTGTGTGCAGCCAGCTAGCCAAAGCCCTGCAATTTGGTTTTACTAGGCTGACACAGCTAGAGTGAACAAATGCATGGTAGAGAACATTTTATGCAGACAAGGCTAATTAAAGCAGACGGACTCTGCAATGTTGTAGATTCATGAAGTGGTCTAGTAATCTTATAACCAACTTTATAAAAAGTAGAGCTAGTGGTCTTAACCTGATTTAAGGTTTTAGGATGTGTCAAAAAGTCAAAAAGACTTCTTATATAGAGCAAGAATACAAATTTGGGTTCACCTAATAAGTCCTGATGGCTGTTCTCATTTATGAAAGGACCGGAAAGAGAGAAGAGAAAGACCATTACTTTTAAAATTCTTTTTTCTTGTAAAATCAGGTCTAGCGAGCTTTTAAAAAAAAAAAAAAATTGGCTTAACTATCGTAAAGATTGGTCTTTGTATTAGGAGCAAAACACAATGTACATAAGGCTGTGGGTTTGTGTTGTTGCTTTCTGAAGATGTGCATATTTGTTTCTGGATTTCAGTGGGTAGATGATGATTTTAGAAGAATTGACACATTAGCAAGAGAGGGATTATATTCATTTATTTACACAGAAAATATCACCAAGGGGTGTTGCAGTTTTGAGTTATGTTGATATTTGTGCAGCTAATGTGTATCTAATATGTATTTTCTGTGAACAGAGGTGATAGTGATCACCACCAAAGAGGTCCAGAAGATGATGAGCACAGACCCTAAAATGAAGTTGGACGTGAAGATGAAACTGGATGTGGTTTGTATCCAGGAAGATGGAGACATGGGCACCGCAGACGCTCTCAGACACATCCAGCAGAAGATCAAGGTGTGTGTATTTTTGTGTATGTAGATGCAGATACTACATTGTGCTTATTATACCTGCAGAAATATTCTGAGCAGATTAGAAAAGGCAAGAATGTTACTACACTAGGAATGTAACCCCTTACACAAATATGGTGTTTAGGCTTTGTATTTAAATGGAAAATGGAGAAAAAATGTATTCAAAAAGTTGAATTCCCCATTGGCCCACTGAGATATAAAACAACATTTCTATCCCTGTTGTTTCCATTTAAGTAGTCAGGTTTCATTGTCATAAATAAAATTATTTTGATCTTACCAATTCAATAAGTTATATTAATTAAACCAAATTACACATGGATAAATCCCAGTACATTAACCAGAATATTCTCTGATATTCTCTCAAATATCGTTAAATTATCTTTAATATTAGTCAGATAATTAACAATAAACAATAAATAGCCAACACAAAAGCAAAAGACTTCATTACATGTACATGGACAGAACTCGATTACTATGAATAATTAGTGTTTTTAAAATGTTTGTAAATGTCCAGAATGATCTGTCTTAGGCCACAAGTTCATTTATATAGGAATATAAAGGGGAAGTAGTTTAATTGCATTTGTGTTTATCGGTTGGTTAACCCAAAAGACATTTTTTATCTGCACCCATTGCTGGGTGCACCCATTTTCATCCAGTTCAATCTGACCTTAAAGCTGTGTGAATCAAAGCACTGACAGAAACCAGGCTGTTGAAAGAAATGAAAAGAGTGCCAGTTCCCCAAAAGACTGAAGTATACCAGTGTTGTTAATTAATTGTTGATTCATTACAACCTTAATGTTAGCAATATAACTTGTTTAGTTGTTTATAATAAAAGCAACAACAACTGAGTTTAGCTTTATTGTGTGGTAGAAGGGGAGAGCCTAACAATACATTATAAACTCACCAATACCAACAACCAGTGTTCTGTGAGGTTTGTGATGAGAGGGGCTGTTTTCCTGTGTAACGTTAACCCGCCTGGAAAAAAAATTGCAAAGAGGTTGGATGTAGAGTAGAAAAATGATAAAGATTGAGGGGGAGGTCTAGGTGGGCGCTGTGTGTACTGCTGGGTGACCACCGATCCGTGCCTTTCCCTCCCCCGAATGGTCAAGGTTGCTGAAGTGCTTCATTTCACCTTTTTAAAATACACATAAATACATGCACGTGCACACACATTTACACACGCTGACATACTATCCATGACCCCCAACCCCAATTTCCAGACCCCCTCTGTATCCTGCCTGCTGATCCCTCCATCCCTCCCTTCATCCGATTCTCTAAACAGATGAGGTCATGGTTAAGACTCAAACTCCCTGTGCTGCCAGTTACCCGGCGCACCATTTATTCTCATCCTGTAGTCATGCACATCTGTGCAGCATTTGTGTTTGGGTATGCGGGGGTATATGTCGTCCCTCCGTATATGCCATGGCTCTGACTGACCTCCTGTGACCATGAAGATATGTTTGTATGAGGTTTTGTGTAGTTTAGCACTACTGATGTATGTCTAAAGCAATTGCTCTTGTTTATTGTTTGAATATCAATTGCACAGGGTTGCATAGGGTTGGCTTAGTATTGGTGAGTTGATAAAGATCTGTGCTTTAAAGTATAATTACTGTTTGGTTTCTCTCCAGTTTCTAGGGGTGGGGGAAATATTGATTTAACTTAAAGATGATGATAATTATGTTTTACGATTCTGAATTAATTTACAAATACCAAAATAAATTGTGCATGCGAAATACACCATATTCCAGAAATCACAAGTACACACATGCTATGGAGAGGGACAAATTAATTCAACCTGCCCAATTTTCAATGAAGCCAAGCTTTCAGATGCTTTTTTCTATTTAATAATCTCATGAGTAATGAGCTTGACATGACTCATTCCATATGCAAGCTTGCAAGGAGTACTTTCAGACTTTTACTTGCAGTGCAACATATGTTAAGACAGTAAGGATTTACTGTTCTGCAGTGTTAAACATAAACAGCAGGTAAGCTAAATAGTGTTGATCAAGGTCAGTGTCTGGCTGAAACATTGACAAAGAAAGCAGAAACTTGGGGAAAAGTAGTGTTTTTTAAAAAAACTAACAAAAAACTCATGCAGCTAACACTGGTAGCATCGTTATTGAATGAAGAACCAATTTTGGCGCTCCCATCAGTGTCAGTTAAAAAAAAAAAAGAATTGTGCTTCTAGATATCTTCCCTGTCAAGAGATTTGAAGACATAAGTGTCCTGCCACTGCTGCTCATTACATTCTTCACAGCGAAATCAGTCTGCTTTGCTTTTGAAAAAAGATTTATCAGAGATTTAAAATGTCGAATTTGTTGTGACAAGGGAGTTTAATGTTTTTTCCTCTGGCATTTGAATGGGTCTGTACAGATTCTTATTATTCCCTTTGCTCAGGAGCTTTTTCATAGATGCATAGTATAACAACACACGCACACACACACTTAAACAGGACTAGCTCCAGCATGCTCCCATTGAGAATAGTCGAGTTCCTAATCCTTTGAGCAGCCAGCTAGATTAGAGGCATTGAGTTACACTCACTCACCCACTGGAGGGTGATGAGTGAAGAACTGTAACCATGGCCTGCCAAATCCCAGTACAGAAATCACTCAAACTGTCAAACTGATGCATGAGTACAGTATGGACACACACACGCTCACTCATCTCTTTACACAAGCACCCTCCCATGAGGGGATTTGGTGTAACCTATCAAACAAAATACTTACAGGAATCAGTGTACACTCTTGGTGAACAGAGTAGGTCATTCCTCTTGATTATTGAAAAGAGAGATTACAAGCGGCATATTTTATTTTGTTCGCTCTTCAAACAGTGAAGTTACACAAAAGTGGAGGGATATGCCTGATTATTACTCAGGTCTTTCACAATAAGCCAAACTAGTGAAAGGAGTACTTAACATGCACTTTTCGCTTTGTATGCTTAAAGCCTCTTTGACATTTTTTTTATCATTCAGGCTTAATCACCTGGCAGAATGAGTGTGTACAGGCTAAATGAACTATACATACATTGGAGTTGCTGATTCAAAGGCTCACCTTTGGTCTACATATGTTAGTCAGCTTGTAAGACTCGAGACAAAAGGTGAAGAGAGAGAGAAGAGTGAGAGACAGAGCTGAGGCTTTTCATTTGAGAGACACAGCAAACATACTTAGATGAGACTTGGTTTCTTTTTATTTCTTCCCGGCTTTTAACCATCTTGCTCTCCACCTCCAACCCCATCCAGCCTTTTTTTCCCTCCTTTTTAGTGAAACACAAAGCACAGAGTTCATGTTAAAAGTGGCCCACATTGCGTTTAGGTCAGTGTGACATGAATAAACGGTTGTCTTTTTCTGCCTGGTGAACAAATTAGTCAAAGCGTGTGTATACATTAAACCTTGACCTAATTGTATTCCCATGTAAGACAGTCAACTCAGTCATACATTTAGATTTAAAATTTTTGTTAACACAAGAAAAATTCATTTATAGAGCTTTAATTTTGAAAAATGAAAAAATTATGTACGCCTAAAAACACAAAGGGGAGACAGCCACCATGTAGACATAATTTGATGATGATTAAAAGGCCTTCATCAGTGGAAAAACAAAAAGGGCGCCGCACAATCACCATACAAACAAAGTTTCAAAGTATTTATTAAAGTGGGCCTGGATTGTGTAAGCAGTAGTTTTGGATTGATGTCAGCTACCACAGGCACAAGTGTGCGTCTGTGTGTGTCTGTGGGTTTGTGTGCATCAGTGTGTGTGGTCCTGACCTGTCCAGAGATCCTGGCTGTTGAAAGGCCAAAGTGTCTCTGTCTCTCCAGCTGACTCCACTCTGCTGTCGCCTGAGTGTGTGCCTGTGTGTGGGGATCGTACGCGTGCACATACTTGTGTGCTCCATTTTTGCACATGTATGCGAGCTTGCCTGTGTGTGTGATAGACGGAGGAGAGAGTCTTAGTGTCTGTAGATCTACTGCAGACACCTCCAGCTTTGCCGTGGCAGCTTCCTGTTGCCAGGTTCAGACCAGGTTATGCTGGGAGTTACCTCTAGGTCAACTACACAACCCTTGACCCCACCAGCCCTGCCCACACACACACACACAGAACAGCTCAGCAAAATTCAACCACAGCGCTCATTACTTACGAAATTAAGGGAATTCTTTAATCTTTTAATATTGCAAAAACAGGTTGAAGTGTTGTACTAAATGCAGTAAATTAAGTTTTGCCAATATTTTTTTTAACATTGGTGTTGCCTACCATCATCTATTTTCTATTCAGTCTGTCCTGCATCCGTCTTTTCTTTTGTATACTTCCAATGTGGCCTCTAGGAATGTAACAACACACTTAACTCACGTGTTGAAACAGTACTAATAATACTGTGATTTCCTCATGTTTTTTTGTTTTTTAAACAAACCAAAAAACATTATTAATATTATAACTGAAAAGATCTACAAAATATATTCTCTTATATTATCTTTATCAAATTAAAGAATCCTTATTTATCCTTTATTTCTGAGGTAGGGTTTAAACTGTGCAAAACAATGCATATTTTATTTTCTTTGTAAAAAAAAAAAAAAAACATGTAAAACTGAAAATATAACCCTGCCAACTACAGAATATAGCTTCAGATCTCTTGCCATGCCTTGTCTGGTATCTTCTTACCGTTCTCGTTTCTGAACCAAAAAGCTGCCACGCCTCCGATTTACAGCAGGATAGTGCAACCTGTCTTCACCTGCAGCCACCATGTCTTTGCACCTTTAGTGCACAGTCACACATAGGCAGAATCCATGCTGACAAATACTCTCCTCCGGATCACCTCCGT